GCTGGTAATGGACAGACACGATGTTACTGATGGTTACATCCTCATGCAATAAAGAGGATATATGTTGTATCATGAGGCAGCTGAAGGTGCAGAGGGTGTAGCAAACGTTTGTCTTGAAACTGTTTGTCTAGAACTGTCATTGCTGCTTTTAATAGAAGATAAGAATTTAGGTGTGAAAATCATGCTACCTTAGTTTTTAACTAAAGAGTATTCTGCATTATAAATACAGTTTTGAGATTTTTAAAGTAACAAACCTGCTTTAAAGTATCTTGAAACATCAGTAACTTGTGATTAATTTGATTGTGTGCAGTTCTCTGCCTGCATTGGCATGTATGCATTAGGAGCCATGGTTCCCCCGTGCAATATGAAAGCCACATAGATTTGATATTAGAGCAGTATTTCCATAGATGGCAATGATCATTGCAGCATTTACATAAATATATGTATCTGTAATTCAAAACACATGCAGTGTTTCGACAGGAAAAATGAGGAGAGGACCAAAATAAGAGTTTAATGTCTAGGTACCAAAGTTTAGAGTTCTTTAGATATTTAATTCTGGACCAACATGGCGGACTCGACTGATGACTATCCTGAAACGTTTTAATGCTCACGCTTCTATTGAAAAGTAAATTAATGCACTTTTAGTTTTGCCCATGCAGACTTCTCGTGTTGGATATATTTGTTTCATTCAGTGGTTTCCTGCTGTTTGACCTGTGGCTATCCCATTGCTAAGTGCTCACCTGCTTTTAGATAAATATTTGCTGTGGTTTCTGCTGGACCCTGACTCTGACTGCAACAGTACAATGGCACCAAGTCCCACTGAAGCAGCTACTCAGCACGAGGGAGAATGTGAGCTATTCTAATGTGGGCAGACTACCTACAGTCTCAATCTGAACTTCTAATCAGCGGTTACATTACAGTGGCGCCTTTCGCTAATTTGTCATTGATATTGCATCAAACATAATTTAGTTGTCATGACAACTGAGTTGCAATAACTCGTTTTTTAAATGTTTTGGCGCCTTCATGAACTTGCTCTTTATGTTCTGTTCTGATGATTACATTTCCACTTATTCTGTACAGTGCATCAGACCTAATAACTGTTTATCTGATGGCTGATTCTTCAAATGAAATGTGGCCCAGTCAAACATAGTAGTGTTCATTGTTTTGGGGCTCACCAAACAAGACCCTTCATGGCTATTTCTGCTCCTTCCTGACAGAACAGTACAACCCTTAAGTCACATATCAGCACTAATGTTCTCCTCTCTGTTAATATCTTTTTCCCCCCTTGTGTTTTACTTACTTTCTTATATTCTTAATTTGCTTGTGTGCTTATCCTGCTGCATGACCCAGTTTGAGCTAAGCTTTAGCTGTCAGACAGAAGGCCTCACATTTGACTCTAGAATACTTAAGAGTACTTTGGTATACACAGGAGTTCATGATCAACTCAATACACAAAGCACTACAAAGCACCCAGGTATTCTGGCTTCAAAAAGGGACAAAATCATCACCATTCCTTCGTTGTGCTGACATTTGGTATGATGTGTTTGTCCTAATATGTTCTTTACATGCAACTTTGCAAACCTAAGCCATGCATCAGTCCATAAACTTTAGTATTTAAAATGCTAACTGAGCTCTTGGCTTGTTACGGTTTCTTACCTGGCACAATGCTCGAGCTGACCTTGGGGTGAATTTGTTTGGATATCCACTCCTGGGATTATTGTGGCATTGTATGCCTGCATGCCCCGGATCAGCAAACTGCCAAAACTTCTGCCTTCATAGAGTTGCTAACGCTTGCTGATGATCAGTTACTCAGGTGCGTTTGAATAGGAGCAACTGGCTGCTACTTGCTCCTTTAACTCTTGTGGAGGAAGCAATGATGTACTTAGTTTTTCACAGAACTGCCTCTCTGTCTATTGCATTTGCTTATTACTTTAGTAGAAGTTGAGCAGAGCTCTGGTGGGAATAACATGAGGTCACTGAAACTCCATGCACTAATAGACAAGTTTAGCCCCACAGGCACACGAGAAGTAACAGCAGAGTAAGAAAGATGTCAATCAATCACTGTCTGCACATGCCCACACAGCCCTGAGAAGATTAGACAATATAAGTGAAAACACCTGTGTGCGCAGCTATGGACCGTCGAGCGTAGCATATAGGCTTTTATTGCAAATTAACTTTAAAGAAATGGTAGTTTTAAACACACTGTTCTGTTTGGTATTACTTTAGCTATCTTTCTGAGCTTATAACAGATAATGAAAGGGCCTAAACATGGTTTACAGTCAAGATAAAAGCATGCTGTTGTTCAAGTATGCAGACTAGATATTGCAAAAACTTGATCACTTGAAATTCCGTGCATGTGAACAGTCTGGGTGATGACTGACTGCAGGTGGATGAGCTGTCAACAGCATGGGGCAGGGGCAGCGTCAGGTGAGAACACTGACCAGGCCCAAGGAGCCTGGGCCCCCGAAGGAACAGGGAGAGAAGAACGGTGTGCTGTTGAGCGCGAGTGATAAG